TATAAAGAAGTTGCTATTTTATAAAATGTGAAAATGATAACCATGAGTGATTGCAATACACAGGTTGAAGAACATTACAAAATACTGTGAAAATCTATAGGAAAACAAAAAAAAAATAAAAATAACATTGAACTAAAACTACCCGTACTTTAAAAAGTACTACAAATAATATTTCAGTGCAGTCACAATTGTAAAATTTTCTAACCAAAAGCATTTGCTAATGGGTTTAATGAAGTGAATTCAAAGGCTTGCTTGACCTTCAAAAAGTATGAATGGTAACAACAGGAAGTAGAGGAAGGGAAAGGATGTCATATTATCAAAATCTATCCAAATAACTGCATAACAAGGGCAATATTTTTACAGTAATATTAATATTAAATCTCCAAAAACTGAAGGTTAACTTCACTTCCACAATGACATCACAGTCGAACTAAGTGTTCAGCAATTTGTTCAAATGATATAACAATAAATAATTTCCTCATTGCTATGCAACAACCTCATACTAGGATCTAGTAGCAGTTTGTAATGGGATGGTCTATAATTTTCATACATAGTGAATGTTTTAAAAATAAATATCATATTAAAAAATTAAAGAAGGTTAAGAACTCAAACCAGAAATGAATTACAAACATTATGTACCTATAATACAGGCTTGAGATTACAGAAGTAAATTAAAAATAACAAAAGCTTTTTGAATTTTTTACTTTAATTATAAATGTACATACCAATACTCTTAAAAGGTCATCAATATCATTAATACTTATGCTTGTTTATGAACTGTACTTTGCAAGTAACTATGAAGTAGTAAAAAGTAATTTGTAGGCATAAGTAATTTATTTGTTGTTGTTTTTTAACAATTTACTATTTGAACGTCAGGGGCAACAGAGATTGTTAACTATTACTCTAAAATTCTTTGAGCTTAATCAATAAACTGTCCAAAAATGACTTACCACACTGACCCAGTTTGTCTTTCTGCTATTATTTCCCAGGTGGATCCTTCGGATTCACAGGATTAATCCCATTAGCATTGAAATGATTGAAGAGAAAAGATATCAATGGTATTTCTCTTACAATGTAGCTTAAATCACATTGGGAAAATTAAATACAACAATGGAATGAAAGCTCTACCGATTCTAGATATGAAAAAACAGGACAGACAATTTTTCTCAGTCAGTCAGCTTAGATGCAGGTTGTCAACAACAAAATGTCCAATTTGTAATTCACATCAAAGAAAAGTGATATTAAAAAATAATTTACAATAGCCTATCAACAATTTTAAAAAGAGGAAATAAAAACAACGTTAAATTCTAATAAATGCAGCTTAATAATGAATGTTCTTTTTTCAACAGAATTTGAAACATACTAATATAAAGCTTAATGATGTTATTTATTGAAAAAAGTAATACTGAATAGTAATATACATTGGTCATAAAGGATTTGAAGATCCTAACCCATCAGAGAATCTTCTTTGTTGTTTGTTATAATTTTTGTAGAGCTCACCATATAATATTTACAATCAAGATCTCAAACAGAACAACAGGTTCACACTGAGTAAAGAAAAGAAATGTTGTGTCTCTTTTAAAGATGATAAAGGTGACATAACACAGAATAGCTTCTCTTCATAACATTTTAGTTTCAGCATATATATCCTTGTAAGAAGTAAACATTGCAAAATAAAAAAATTGAAAGTAACATATAAGTAAAATCTCTCCAAGCACTTCACTAATAAATATGAACAGAAATCAATCCGGCTTATATTCATTAACAGAAACTATAAAGTCTTAATGTTAAAAGATGGACTGTTGTTCTCTGGTAACAGGAACAAAAATAAGTCCTAGCACTGGGACACAAAGTCACAATATTGTCTAATGAAGATCAATTGTCTATCATGTACTACTTCCAAACTTAGTGTTGGGCTTGCATTTTAACCTGATAAAGGAAAAACAACAAAAGTGATCAGATATATAAAACTGTATCTTATTCATAGTACAGTAATGTAGGGTACTTGTGAAGAAGCTTAAAATAAACATTAAAAAAAATACAATTTTTTTTTCTACTGCACTCTTAACAGGCTATGAGAGGGGGGCATATTAGCCTCAGTTCATCAACAACTCTGCACAAAAAGATAGAAAATATTAAACAGCAAGAAAAAAAAGAAGCAACTGTGATATCTCCTTTTAAGCAGCATAGTTTGCACCCACAGACAATATGTAAAAATGGGCAAAGTAGTGCGATTTTCCATCCAAATTAGTACTAGGTGTAACTAATGGCTAATATGTAATTTTTAAGGGGACTAAAATCTAATTATATTTAATGCACAAATTTTCAAATAACATTCAAAAAATAATATTTTAGAATAAATTATGTATCCTACCCTATTAGATATTGAATGTGTATATTTTTTAGGCAGAAGTTGTCATGTGTTCCCAGTCCCCTTCCCCCCCCCCTCCCACACACACTTTGTTCTGCAACTGGATAGATTCACAGTTAACTAGCTGGATCTGTACAAACAGTCTGCACTTTGTACGTCATTGTTTTAAAAGTAGAAATAGCTTCCTACTTAAATAACTTAATAACTTCCATCTTGGAACAGTCAGCCCTGGACTGTCTGTTAAAGCATTTTAAGCCTGTCAAGATTGCCTTGTCATTGTGAACATCAAAGCCATTTAAGCCCTGTCAGAGGCCAGTTATTCAATGTGTCAATGTAATTTTACATACATTTCAATTTCCTGCTCATTTCTGTCTGTCCATGCCTGCTACTAAGTGGAGCACCTACAAGAGCTAAAAGACAATTCAATTAGGTCTCATTTTTATAATACCGTTAAAAAAAACACTTGCATTTGCCTTTCCCCCGCATATTTACCTGCTACTTTGAGACATGGTCTGGAAATTAATTTGAAAACTCAAAAATTTAATTTCTGGGTTTTTTAATAGATTCTTCAATAATTCTTATGGCTGCAAATTTTGCAGTGGCTCTAGCAGCAGACGAAACAGAAAATTCTGTAGATCTAGAGAATCTAGAAAAGAAACTCCAAATAATGTAAAAGAAAGGTCCAAAAGATTTTTTGCAAAACTCCTCCAAAATACAGCACTCTTTAAATAATTTTTGTTTTAAAAGGAAAATTAGCTTCATACCACAAGCCAATATCCAGCATTTCTGACAACCCCTTCTGCAGGGTGAAGGATCCTATCAAAACTTTAATAGTTGGTCAAAAAAATTCTCCTTTTGTAGATCAGAACATAGAAAACAATACTTGTGTTCCTTCAGGGACAAAAAACCCTGTTTTTTGTTTGTTTTTGTTTTTTTGACATGCTCTGATGCATTGCTTTAAAGTTATGCTCAACGACACAGTGTTGTAATGTGCGTTGAGGTATTGAAGGTGCCTTATCCAGCATAAGCACACTTACAGGCTTTTGTGTTGATGGTTTCTTATTAATTATAAAAAATTGTCAACTTCCCTTAGCACATTACATATATTAGATATTGTCAACACCTGTGATTTATAGAATAACAATAATATTGTATAATACAATATAACCTTTTTTAATTAAAAACAATTTACGTTTAGAAAATTGTGATATACATTACGGTATGGAGAAAAACACTTGAAAGCAACAGCAAAACAGAAAAGGCGAAATTCAAAGATCTAAAAAGTGAAATATTTGAATATTGTTGACTCAAACATAAAACAATAATTAAAAAGAAAATATTTTTTTCATAATTCTGGGAACTCAAGAAATTTGCATATTCCACCTTCCCTCTATATTTATTTTTTACACCCTGCTGAAGTGATATTCGGACGTTTTATTCTAGACATCCTGCATTGATCTATGGCCCATGCAACCGCAAAGAGCATACAATACACTTCGCCAAATCACAAGGTGCAGTCTCAGAAGTAGTTCCATGCGACCACACCACTGATACACATCTCAAGAGCAACTCCAGGAGGAGCAGTCTTTTAAACGTAGAAATACAATATTATGGTTCATAGAAAGACAGTCAAATGAACTATGAAGTTTGACAACAAATTGTTGATGAGCGTTGACGGTTTTGGCACATGCTGTGAGTATCCTCTGTGCTAGTCAGTAGAAAAAGCCCAAGTGATAGTTTTCTAAAGTGCTCAGAAGGATCACTACATGCCTTATGAAGTTATCAGAAAGTAGGCAGCATTGTTCCAGTGACTTCAAGGACTGGCAATAGCCACAACACGATTGAGAAAGCTCAATACTAACAAAAACCGCATTTAATTGGCTAGCTGAAATTGAAGTCAAACCGCATTTAATTGGCTGCCAGAGAGATGCCGTGTCGTTGATAGTGTTGCCAACATAATGCGACATTCTAAGAGTGAAACCCTTTCAAGAGGCAGCCCAGGCGGCGTGTATGGCGTGTGAGGTATAAGGAGGAAACCCACTTCAAGCGGCCTGGGCGACGCAGTCCGTTCAGCTCGGCTGGAGAGTCGCCTGTTTATAAGAGGCCGCCACTCGCTACATTAGAGATGGAGAGTGACTGATGATGGATTAATTCTTCCGAAAAGAGATTGATCATTTAGGCTGCGGAGGAAGAAGAGAGAGATGAACGAGAACAATATAATCAGGGGTAAAACATATTGTGAATAATATTAGTGCCGAAATCTTCAGGGACTTTTCCCAAGCGAATACGGTACATTTGATTAGGCAATTTAAGAGATAATTTGTACGTAGCTCACACCACATTTTTTTCAACACGGCTCCAACGATACGAGAACATTCTTTCATTTTCTTGCACAAATATTTACAGGTCAGATCACTTATCCTGTTAAAAGTCAGATTTTATTAAAACCTCTTGCGTTTCAAAAATAGCAAATGTTTAACTCTGACTAATATAAGAGGAGAACAAAATTGTATTGAGCCAATGTGTATGGCGTTACAAAAATGGCTTGTGTGCCTACGAGTTTCAAATTTTCGCGGCTGAATATTGGATAAACGACACATTAACTTTGGATTTTTTTAAAATTTTGTGACATGTAATTGAATACCATGTCAAACATTTTGGCCGGTGCTGCACCGTGCCGCCCTGTGCGGCCGCAGGAAGTGGGTTTTCTCTTTTACAATGTTGAAGCAGGTAGGGCCGATGTGCTGACCAACCGAAAATTTAGGAGGTTCAAGGTCGTATTTGACGAAGTCTCCCCTCTTTTTCTCTCTCCCGTCAACCATCATCTTTCTGCGCCCCAACAGCAATCATCCGCGATACGAGAACCCGACAACGGAAAGTCGTCCTAGTGGTGCAGCTTCCATCCAGCAACGCGCCGTAGGAGACGCCCGACGGCCTGAGTGAGGGTAAAGAGCCGTTGCACCGGGAGGGGAAGCGCGGCGGCGTTGGCGAACAGAGCGGAGTGTACGTATATTGCGATCCTCGGACCCCAGCTTTCGACCCCACCTGATGTGAACGATTCTGGTGGATGGGTGAAGTTTGTTTTATGATTTGAATGGCGATACTCGAGAAACGGGAGAACCCCGAGAAAACCTGCCGCGAGCCCACATTTCACCTCAGAAATTCCACATGAGAGCGACGTGTGTTTAAATCGCGAGTCAGAAAGGAGGTATGTGGATGCCCTGACCACTTAGCGATGACCTTGAACCGCGTAAATTGCCTTCGGGCGGTACAGGCCGCGTCCCCTCCCGGGATGTCGAGTCTCCGCTGACTCGGATCGCGAGTGGAGTGTGGAGGGGCTAGACGTTGAGCGCGCTGACGTGCTTGTCGTCGAGGGGGGCGTGGTCGGGCCCGGCGGCGGCTGAGGCCGGGATGCAGGTGGCGGCGAGCAGGTTGAGCGCGACGAAGAGCCAGGCGGCGAGCCCCAGCTGGTGATCGGAGGGGAAGACGCAGACGGAGGCTGCGCTGCCCAGCAGCCGCGCCAGCGCCGGCGCCCGCGCCTGCGCCCCGCCCGGCTCCCCGCTCGCGCCCACGCCCACGCGCCCGGCGCACGCCCGCACGCGCGCCGCCCACAGCTGCAGCAGCACGCCCAGCACCCCGCTGCACGCGCAGCCGGCGTAGAAGCGCAGCTGGCGCCGGTGCTGGAAATGCAGCGCGGAGAACGCCTCCTCCAGGTACAGGCTGGACGGCGCCAGGATCACCACGCTGCGGCACACGCAACACGCATTAGACACGGATTTCTAACGGAAGTGCAGCTTACGTCCATGCACTCTATTCGTCAACGCCTTTGTTTGCAGTTGGCTCTCTTGTTAATGACATTGATATACCTCTTGCAATGCTATCCGTTTGTTAGGGTATCTCTCCAGCATTTGCCTGGTGTTGATCGGAGAACTACCGATCAGAGTAGCCGGCCGCTAGAATTCTCCTCCCGACAGCGACTGAATTCGACCTAGCAAGTGTGAATCCTGCCGGTGAGAGGTACTGCAGTGACAGCGTTTATGCCCTGAGACACATCTCCCGGTCCCATTTTCGAAGTAAACGCGACTATTTAAAATATAGTTCGTCACAAACGGCTCTAATTTTTTTTTTCACGGATAGAGCAAAGTACTATTAAAAATGCCGGAGGCCTAAGTTTCATTGAACTTGTGAATTTTCGAATATTCTGGGACTAAAGTGAGAGCCCATTTGTTCTCTAAGCGTCGCGACGATTCCGACACGTCGGCAAAAGATCGATCGAAGATCGATTGTACTACAGATCGATTGCGTGGTGTAGCAGGAAAGGGCTTAGTGAGTTAAATCGATGGATCCTCGGCGCGAAGAGAACATTTTTGGTGGTTATAAACACTTTTGCAGGATCAGGGAGTAGTATAATATTGCGGAGCCTTTACTAATAACGCGAGAAAATATGTGATGATGTAGAACCACTAGTTTACCAATGAAGAGCACTAAAAGTATAGTAGTCTACACTGGTATAGTAGTATAACACTGCTGTACAACTGGCAACTACACGCGTCAACGTAATATTTGCAGTCACACTCAGAGGAGTCCGTGTATTTTATAAGCGATATAATCACATTTCGAGTTTAGTTGGTAATATTTTCATGAATATAGCAATTTTAATGCATCCACATAAGCGGTCTCTGCTTGGGTAACTCTTCTACATACATTGCGCATCCAGAGTGGCGATTTATCCCTAAGAGGGTATTTCACGAAATATACTCCCAACAACAATATACTCCACTTCCAAATACCTCCCTGATATCAAAGTTACATGTTGAACCTCATCCTCATCTACTCCTGTAATTTATCCGTGATGAGTTGGCAAAAAGAACCAACGAAGGCTACTCCACTTTTCACCGTGAATAATTTCTAAACTGTATTGTATTAATAGCAAAAATTTTCCAGTCACCTGGTTGTATGTATAGCTTACCTGAAAATGTTGCTGTAATATATTTTATCAAATTCTGTGTAGCGAGGGTCACAAACTCTCGCATGAAGAATTTGAGCTGTGAGGAACACCACGTGCGCTAACAACCATGAATAGCCGGAATCAGCAAACTGTAAAAGTAAATATATTAATACACATACGAACCAGCAAAGAACAAAAGAAGAAGACATGAGCTATTTGGACTGAGGAGAAGAAAGAGAATCATCGGGACAAAATGAAAGATATGGAAGCAAAAAAAGGAGAATGAGGCAGAAAGTTGAAATAAACATAATCCATAGTGGCACATTAGAAAAAATACAAATATGAGTAATACATGAAGGGGTTTAGAAAGTTATTATTCACGTGCAAAAGGGCCACCAAAATATTTTCTCCCAGCCACCTTTTCTCCCACGTGATAACATAAATTATTCGAAAGGTCGTTGTGTAACTATGATTTTTAAAAGAATCTGGCAACATTTCGTGATAACGTGAAAGTTCTTCACCTATCAAAGAAACCTTATATTTTCTTCACAAGACGTTTGGTAGAATTATTCTCGTCCCCAGCGGCCAACAAGTCACCCCATTCCCGTGCCTTTAAAAGTGCACGAATTTGCCTGGTTCTCAATCAACCTGCAATGATGATTCTCGCGTTCCGGCAAATGCAAACTTTAGAGCTGAACCATTGTCCATCAACAACAGAAACAGGCAACACACGCGTCGTTTTTAAACGTCAGTACAGACCAACAGGAGTACGGTAACGACTGTTCTAGTCTTTGAAGGGCCGGATTGATGGGCTGCAAACCAGAGGCCCCAACTACTCGGGGAATAATAAAAAATATATTTTATTATACTTTTAATAAGTTCAAATTGTTAATCTAAAATTAAATTTAAAAACTTGTTTTTAAACTTTTAACCAGCAGTGTTAGTCCGTTATTACAATTATATGTTGTAGGCTTCACATTACTGAGTAATCAATTAAATATGAAAAAAATATATTTAACCAGTAACAATTTCAGGAAATTTCGTGGAACAAATCACGTCCTCATATTCACTTGTAGTCGGATATTGTAAAACGAAAACCAATTTGTTTTCTTCGTAACATCTATTTTTTTACAGAAATTTTAATCTTTTGTTTTGTTTAAAAACTAGCAAGCATTTTTCAAGATTTTTATCAGCATCTTTGGTTCATTTGGTCGACTTCTCAAGATTTGTCTTATGGTCTTCTCTCATGCCACCAAATTCGCATTAGGGCAAGAAACAAATTATGGAATTTGATATCGAATTTGTTTTAAGTCTTTGGCAAAGAAACCCTTAATCTCTGTATTTATTTGGATCTTAATAGTTCCTGACAACCGTGAATAATTTGTGAAAGTATTTTCAATAAGTGTACGACCGTTTATAATGGTGAGTGACCGAAACGATCCAGGTACTGAAGGCAAAGGAGGCGAAGCTTCGCGTCCGCAACGGCCGGCTGTCCACTCACCGGGAGGCTGGCGTCGACGATGATGGTGCAGACGCCGGCGCCCACCACCAGCAGCGCAGCCGTCACAGGCAGCAGGCGGGCGGAGGCCCCCGCGCCCGGCCCCACCCCCGCGCACCCGTCCAGCAGCGCCGTGCACGCCAGCGGCAGGTTGCACACCGACGCGAACACCGGGATGGGCTGCGTAAGGACAGCGCCCGCTCTTCATTCATTTCCAGACTCCGGGATCGTCACTACGCTCCGATTAAAACGTACGGCCAATTGGCGGTCCAGCCATCAGCTGGGATGTGGTTATCCAATAGGGTCCTTCGTTGCAACTTCATCTTTGATACTGAAAATCCCCATTGGATAATCGCATCCAAACTGACAAATGTCGATTCAACTGTATGTTAATGAAATTGAAACTTTTATCACAAATTAAGAAATAAAGTTTATTTATGAAAAAACATTCCCAGCGTTGTCAGATTGTGTGGGAAACGTTTTTCGCATATTTTGATTATTCTTTTTATTTTTACAATTTATAATTTTTAATTTAATGAAATTTAATTAAAATTATCATTTTATTTAATTAAATAATAATTTATAATAATAAATGTCGCTGCGTACGCCCCCAAGGATCAACTTAAACTACTGAAGCTACATCATAACATACCTTTTGCATTATTTCAAACATTTTGCAGTCTTCCAAAATTATGAGAGCTCAACGAAAATGCCACATCCACTATTTTTAAGCTTTTTTCTTTTGCACTTTCCATTGAAAAAAAATAAAAGAAAAAAATTCGATATAATTATAAATCGATAAAAATTCGATAAAAAATAATTATAAATCGCATTAACTTCAAGAAGAAATTACCCGCAAACTATTCGATTCTTCACAAAATTGTACTTTTCTTAAAATCTTATATTCAAAATTACATTTCATTAACGACAAAATCGCTGTCATCAATATTGCACATTGCAAATGTCAATTAATTGAAAATCTCCAATATAGAGTGTCGATGAGATATGCGATCAGCTCCAATTTTTTACCGTTCTTTGCTACAAACCAGGAAAAAAATTAAAAAGAAATTTAGAACCATATTTTAGAGAAAAAATGTTTTAAAACTCCCTGTATTTCACGCAAAATCCATTCAAATATTTGAAAAAGTGTACACTTGATAGCAAAAAAATGCGCAATGTCCTGGGCTGAACTTCACCACAGTTTGTGTATCCCTGCCCCGCCTTGCGGCGTTAAGCTAACCAATAAATTTAACTTTATTTCAGAGAGGCGGTGCTTTCATCGTGAAGATTACATTATAGTGGCAATCGTGAGTTATATTATGGTAAACATTTGAAAATAAATATTAAAGTGACCAAGAGTTACATAAATTGTAGAATATACATTTAATTAAGGAAATAAAGACATGCAATTTCCTTGTAAAACACATTTTAAAACAATAATATATTATACGCTGTTTTTTTTGCAAAAAAATAGCACTTGACAAGGAGTAATAAGCTCCAAATTTACATTTCACCTTAGATTATAGTAATATTTAATATACAATACAAAGTATTTGCTACAGTGATTTGTCTAATCCAGTTATTTTATTAGAATAAATAAATAACTTTAAAATACGTTTAAGAGCCAGTCGCACAAACAAGTATCAGAAATAGTAGCTTTAAGTTGTGAAATACTTCAAGCAAGAAACACCAGCTTTTGTCGATTGTGTAATCACTTGGAGAAACATTCATCAATTCAATATATTATTTACTTCTACCTAATGTATTATTTACAATCCAACGCAATGACATTAATGTTTGTATTTTTTAAAACTATTATTATTTTCACGACATTTTTATTTTCCGAAGACGAGCCACGTACACAATGTTTCCCGCATGTCATCGGAATGAAATCTTACTACACCCACTTCTTTTAGATAAGCAGGCCTATGCTAACACTGTTTTCGCTAATTCACTAAGGATCACTAGCGAACAATCTATGCCATAAAACATTTCAAAATTGTAATTGTTAATATTGTTTCTAAATTTTATAAAACGTCGGAAACTTATATCATGATAATTTATAAAAAACGAATAGGGAACGTCTTCTGTAAAATGTCGTTGCAAAATTGAATTTTGCTTATTTTTTACACGTTGTTTATTTTTTTATTTTTAGATTATTTTATATTTTATACATTTTATACATAATTGCCAATTACATTACTAGATATATGTCCACAAATGCATTCCCAGTGATATTGCATTGCATATTTATATTTTTATTAGTATTATAAACATATAAACGATTAAATTTTTAAAAATTTTTGATTTGGGAAACTTTTACTCAAGTTTTTTTATATATATTGATAATTTGATTGATAATTGATATATATATATATATATATATATATATATATATATATATATATTGATGTATTGATTTTTTTTAAATTATAACAAAATCATGTTATTGTTGAAATCGGCTGCTGCTGCAATAATAATGCATATAATGCAACGCTTTAAAATGAACTTCTCGAACTATTGATTGATAATTCATGTTCCAATAAAGTATATATCACGCAGAGGCAATTTTGGAAAAAATATAAATAACAACACAATGGCCTCAAAGTCATTATTCATTCATGTTTGGTAGCACTCTTTGGGGACATTCAATAAGCAGGTGGGCCTAGAAAGCCCCTAAGAAGGAGAAATGTAAGCTATCACTGTTGCTTTTGCGACCAGATATTCACGGTCACCATTGAGTTTCTCTTATATGTCTACGGCTTCAGGAAGTGATACTAAATATTTCTACATTTACTTGAGAATACATATTGCATACTATGAAATAGAAGTGAAGAAATGAAGTTTTAAAAAGATCTGTCTTTTGGTATACATCAATAGTTCTACTGGCAATTTTAATTAGATTTTCTGTTATTCGTCAATAAAATGCCGTCCGCTGTGTGTGATCTCGGGAAATCGGATAGACCAATTAATTACATGTTATTGATGGGTTGGAAACATGTTTTCATCGTAGAATTGACGCCATCCATTAATGCAACTTCACAACAAATGTAAAGGATACTCCCGGATAAGATAGTAAAAAGTTCCCCTAACCCAAATAACATATGGGTAGTTACCCGATAGCTCTAAAATAAAAATTAAACTTTTTAGAGGTATTTCAGCATCCGACCCAACACCTATATCCCTGTACAGCGAAAAACGAATTTTTTTATTTTATTTTTTCCGTCAACCAAACACTATTTTATCCTATTAAAATATGAAAAGTAAGAAAATCATTTATTTACTATTCCTTAAAATATTAGTTCGTCATTAATTTTTGCTCACATATTTGGTGAAGGATTATTTTATTTGTCGTAACACACACTACACACTCACTACACAAAAACTGTCATTAAATATTTGTAATGTCGAAAAATTCAAAATGTATAATGGAAATGAGCACTTTTCACAGGCTGAGACTGCATATTGTCATTTGCTGTCTCTGCAGCTTCGCTGACCGGAAAGTCCTAGGGTTCTAATCCCGATATAGTGGCGGAAATACGACTCTCATTACAGCCGAAGTGTACCTGGACGTCGATTTCCAACAGGGACGCAACACCGCCACCTCCCAGGGTATAGCATACTTACAACGTAGTTAACGCGCCCGAAAACACTCAACAATCGATAGCAATTCGCTGAATTCGATTACGGAAAATATATATAAACTGATTAATTTGTGAGAATGTGTCTGTTTCACGCTAACTATTCCGAAAAGAAAATTACAGATTGAAGTCTTATTTAGTGTCACATGGACATTGCCAGTAAGTACTGTTTTTGAAAAAACTCTCTCAGATAAAGAGCCGCTATCTTCCAGCTTTACTTGTAATGTGGATTTTTCTTTTCTTTCTTTTATGAAATACAGAGGCCAAGTAGTGGTGCTATGAAAAAAGGCACAGACTTTCTTGTACTACTTCGCTTTCTAATCTGTTTAAGCTGGGTTAACTGTTCGATTTCCCCTACCTTCTTCCCAGCAGCTACTTTTTTATGTATATTTATTAATAAACGAATATACATAGTTCAGTATTATATATACTACATCATATGAATTTTGTGGATATGAATATTTAACTTAAATCAAATTTTACAATTTAATCGTTTATTTCAAAAACACGTCAAACGCCAAATTCCTCATTTCGAAAAAACTCAGAAACTGGCTCCCAAGTTTTCTGTTTTCAAAATATTTTTATTTTTTAAAGTAGCCGATAAATGAATATTTTTCATATAAATATGCACTAAACACTGTCTATCCTCTGGGAACAATAATCCACTAATGCGTGTTTTAGATTTTGGCGTTTGACGGGGTTCTGAAATGAACCATTCAATTACATCTAACTACACATGAATAGGAAGCTCACAAAGCATCTACGGTATTAATTCTGTTCTGAAAATATGTCGAGGAATGAATCTAATGGGTATCGATTTTGTATTTTAGATGGGATCTGGTAGATGGTGGTTAAGTCGTAAAGGGTTGCTTGGGTTATTGTGTTTGAAGAAGAAATAGTTAGATAGAAATGCAATATGGTGTACTATAGGGGATAATTCAATTATTTGTGCAATTGAATGTTTGAGATCAACCAAGGTGCATGAGTGGCAAGTCTAAGGAAATGATTTTGGATGATCTGTAATTTATTAATGTTAGTTTTCGACGCGTTGATCCAGATAGGGCATGCGTAAAGCATCAGGGGCCTAATTATTGATTTATAGATGGTGATGTCATTGTTTAATGAGAGCTTACTATTGCGGTTTATAAGTGGCTTCAGTTGAATTGTTTTATTCTGGCTTGCTGTGCTTTTACTGTTATGTGATTTTTCTAATTTAGTATGGTATCAAGATTTAGCCCCAGGTATTTGACAAACTGATCGGTCCATGGAATAGGGTGATTGTTTATTTGGAGAGGAGTTGGGATTGAAAATCTTCTTCGGCTTTTCCCCCTTAGGAGCTCGCCCTTTTCACCCTCAACAACTCTCGGTCCTCCCAATCTCCTGGTTTGAGGCATCTATCCTCCATAGCTTTCTGAACGTATTTCCCCCCTCTAGAACCCCTCTTCCTCGTCTTCTCTTCTCAGGAGGTTGCCACTTTAAGATCTTGTGTGGCCATCTGTTTTCATTCTCTGAACATGGCCATACTATTGTAGTGCTCTG